AATGGACACAGTACTCCCATTTTTATGTTACATAAATCTCAGCCCAGGTTGCGTACGAGTCTAGAGAATGATAAAATGTGGGTTTGCAAATACTTGGGGAACACCGTCATCCCCCCTCCCCCCCAAAAAAAACCCAAGTTTATGAAGCGATGGCAAATATAAAAGGGGACTAGTGATCCTCAACAGTCTTCGAGAGTGTAATTTATCGATTCTTTAGCTAATTTAATATATATGAGAGGCATTTCATAAAAAAGGGAGGCTCCACGTCCCCTGCCCCGTCTAATGAGCGGTGCAGCTGAGCAGGGAGGGGAAGCTTGAAACCCACAAGAATCACAGGAAGGGGAGCTAGTTGGAGAGAAACAGGGAGGCCTGTGAAGAAAAAGGATGTGCTTGCTTCTCAGCTTGGGGGCTTGCACCAGGAACTTGGGGGACTTGGAAGAGACGTGGGTTAAAGACAGGCAGGGAGGCTGACAATGGCAGTTGTTATCTTGATTTATACTTGGATTTTGTTTCTTCCCTCCCAGGCTTGCCTGGCCCTTTCTGCCCTTTTCTTATGTGTCCCTGCCAGAAGGTGCCTTAGGCTTGTGGCAGGCTTTCGGGCCTCAGTGGCCCTGCTTTGGGCCAACCCTGTTTGGCTGATCATTTACCCAGCAGGAATGGGTAATTTTGAGTGTTTTCATTGGGAAACTATTATCCTTTGTCTTCTCTATACATGTTCTATCAAAGCTCTTGCACCCTGAGAATGTGCTTTGTCTTTATGTGGCAGACAGCAGAATCCCTTTAGAGCATACAAGTTTGGGGGTCCCGGGGTGACTGCTAACATATTCAACAGGTCCTTCTCGTTACCAAAATATCACCAATATTAGAAACCGGTGGCAAAAGAAGAATCAAGCTCCTCCTATCCTTCCCACCAAAAGAAATATTTATATTATTCCTGATGAGTGTGTTTCCTGAAAACAGCAAAAAAAAGTTATTCAATATAGGCAGCATTTTGGTATTTGACACAGAATCTGGTGATTTTTGCATTTTTTTATAGTAAAACAGTCTTAGGGCCAATTAGTTTTATGTGGTAAAAATGATTGTGGTAAAGAACTTACAGTGGATCTATAGGGCAAAATTAAAAACTAGACCAAGTCCAGTAGTGAAAAGAGAAAATAGCTCCACATTTATAAATAATGGACAGCACATAATCCATTTGTATTTCAAGAAGATTATATTAAATGAGCCTAGTTGCAATCGTTGACTGGAAAAAAATAAACATTTCTGTAGTTTTGAAATTAGAAAATAGATTTCTGGCACAGTGCTTTTTCTGTGTTTTGGGGGTGGGGGGACGTGTTAAGGGTGCTAAGAAATTAATTTAAAAATAAATTTAAAAACAAAGCTTAGTCAGACCCAGGCATATCCAGGCAGGCGTGTCCAGACACATCCACCTCCAGAAAGAAACCTCGCGAAAACAGTCTCCAGAGCCACAGAACAGGGTTGAAATTCTACCAATCACTGCTTGGCTACCTAATTTGCACCAATCCGACTAGAGAAACCTCAAGCCTAATTGGCATAACGGCTGTGCTTGAGGCCCACCTGTGCTTTCTGTATATAAGCCCTCCCCTTGAGGCAACTCTGAACCCACTTCCAGGGTTTCCTTGAGTTCTCACTCTCAGATAAATTCCTTTTCTTTTCTTTTTAAAGATTTATTTATTTATGCATACAGGAACTGGGGTACAAGCCAGAGGAGTGGGGGGTGGGTGGGGGGTGTGAGGATCCACCAGAGACATTGTGGGGAACAGAACAGGCAGACTGACTGAAACACACTGCTGAGGGCAGCAGCGGGCGAGACGAGAGAGTGTCTGCTGTGCCGTGTGGGTCAGCTTCCTGGCCAGGACCCAACTCGAACTCGTGCCCCAGTGGCTGGGCATAGCTTGATAGCGCTGTCTTTAACCCCTGTGCCACCAGGGAGGCTCCTAAATTCCTTTTCTTTGCTCCAGCTTGACCAGGTTTAGGTTTCTTGGTTAGGAAGAATTAATTTATAAGTAGACTCCACCATAAGCAAGAGCTCAGGGTTCAAAAAGGCTGGCTCTGTGTTGCACAACCATAAGTGAGTCTCCACGTTTCTCTGTGCCTGATTTCCTTACTTACAGAGTGTGGAACGAGATAAGTAGGTTTCTTTCCTTCCCTAAGACCTAAAAATGCTAATTTGTGATAAGATTTGCCTCCTATAGTCAGTTTCCTAATGTACTTCATTTTGACGTTAAAGTAGCTGAAGGGAGAAGACATCTTCTTTATTAAAAATCTAAATAATCAATAGAAGGCATGGTTTCATTTTTACAACACCAGCCCCAGAAAAACTAATTCAATACAAATATAGGTGGTACTGATTAAAAGAACTGATATATTTACTGGCAATATTTTCAGACAAAATTTACAAGCACCAAGCTGAGTCTCCATCTTTTAAAGGTGCATTTCTATATACTCTGAATATGAGCTTGATTTACAACTTTCATTCTTTAGCCTCAATAATGTGAAATTCTTCCATATGAAGCTAGGTCTCTCCTTAGCGCTATGTCCTAATTTCCCCTTGTCAAAATAGCTTTTTAAAGGACTCTCTATTGTTCTCAGTTAATTTTAACACTAAAAGTTCATATGGTGGTGATTTTAAAAGATTTTACTTCACATGCCAAAGGTACCTCCTTAAACTGCTCCACTCGTAATTGTTACCATAGTTACAATACGGTTTTCATACAGCATCTCTTTTAGACCTCGAAGTGCTCTGTAAAGACCACTTTGAAATTTTGTTCTCTCAAAACATACTCCTTACATTAGATAAGGGGTCGCTGACCTCTTCTTACAGACTTAATAGTCATGAGAGTACATGACTTCCCACTGGATTCAAAGGAAATAGTGGCATTTAAATCCTAAATCTAATAATCTAATGCTATTCCAGTGGCTTTCCCTCTTTTTCACCTTTTTTTAATTCCAACTTTTCTAAAATCATCTGGGAAGTAATAGATCATAATTAATTGTTCAGGCTTTTATGCTGTGCTTTCAGAATCACTTCTGATTTGTGGTCTGGCTCTGGTTCAGTATTATCCAACACTAAGTTTATTTCATCAGCCCAATATCAAAGCTTCCTCACTTTAGCCAGAAATTAAAATAATAGCTTTAAGTTTCCCCTCCCTGTCAAGAAGCTAGTCAATAATGCAATTTGCCACATTTTTTTAGATGACTCTACGTGCTCCCCATAAAAAAAAAGCTAGATATATGATCCTTTTATTTATACAACTCATGCACTCTCAACTTTTCCTGTACAAAGAATCTTTTTTTTCCCCCTTATAATTTTACTTTCTTTCAATTTTTCAAACTGTCATTCTGCCCACAAAGGGTAACTGTCAGATTTTACTTCATTCTCTGGCTAAAGCCTATGAAACCTGATGTCACCTTTCCTTGACTCTCTTCTCCTGAGAAGTTTATGCAGACAACTATGATGAGGAGAGAAGATACTAGCAGTAGCCTAGAGGGTCACATAGTTCTAACATGTGATTCTAAAAACAAAACATTCAAAATACAAACATTGTCAGAACAAATGCTCTTCTGTAGAATTAAGTCAAAAGGAAATGATAAATACCCTCAGAGTAACCTGAGTTCTTGCCTAGCATTAGCACTTTTTAAAGTCCAAATTCAGCCTTGATTTGTGACATTTACATGCAAGGCCAAGCAGTCCAGTGCCCAGAAATCCTGAGCGCTGGGCTGCTTCTTAGTGACCTTGAGCAAATCATCTCAACTTAACAATTTGAGGAAATAGATCCCAAAAGCTATCTACTTTCCACATCAACTCACAGCTCCTGTCTCCCCAAGGAAGGTGACATGGATTAGAGACAGGTCCTATGAAAATAAAAAAATATTATTCTGTAGATGACTATTGTACAATGAGATTAATCCTCATAATTTCCTCCACAGTTTAGGTTAAGCCCCAAACTTTAGCACTTTCTTCTCCTCATACAAACACTTGAAAATTGAATGAGTTCAAGACTGCACATTTACTCCATTGTCCCATTTTTAAACCTAAATGTGATATTTCAAAAATTCTTCCATATTTGCTAAATATTCTAAGTCAAAAATACACAATACTGGGCCTCCCCAGTGGTGCAGCGGTTGAGCGCTAGGTTGCGAAGCTGCCCGCAGCCTCTGCAGCTCCGGTTCAATCACCGGCTGCTCCCCGGCCACCGGAGGAGGGTCCCACATGGCGCGCAGACCTCTCCTGCCGCCCGCAGCTCCCCTCAGCAGTGTCCTTCGGTCCTTCTGCCTGCTCTGCTCCCCGCTCTGGCTCTGGTGAATTCTCTCACCCACCTGCGCTTCTGACTGTACCCAGTGCTTGTATAAATAAATAAATAAATCTTTTAAAAATAAAATAAAATAAAACTTTAAAAAAAATACACAATACTTAGGTATTCACACTAAGTTTTCTGAACTTCTTAAATTTGTAAACTAAAGACTCATATTATTTGACAGAGTAAGTATGCTTTAGTTTATATCTGGCAAGTTTCCAAATTGCACCAAAATTTCAAAGTACAGATTTTTATTTTTATTTATTTATTTACTTTTATTTTTAAATAAATTTTATTTTTATATTCCCCTACAATTGCAACCCCCTTATTTTCACCCCAATCCCTCCCCTCCACTCCCATAGAGTGTCTCTGGTTCATAGTTTTTTGTTGATTTTGATTTTCACTTTCTTATAGTTATTCATTTTCTGGTCCCTTATTTAAGTTTTCTAGATTCCTGCTATGAGTGAGACCATCCAGTATTTTTATTTTTCTTTCTGGCTTATTTCGCTGAGCATGATCCCTTCCAGCGCCATCCATGTTGCTGCAAATTGCATGTGTTTATCTTTTTTGAATGCTGAGTAATATTCCATGGTGTATATGTACCACATCTTCTTGATCCAGTCATCTATTTTTGGGCATTTGGGTTGTTTCCAAAGCTTAGCTATTGTAAACAGTGCTGCTATAAACATAGGGGTGCAGGTGCTCTTTGGAATTGATGTTTTTAAAGTACAGATTTTTACACTGAAGTAAACGTCAAAATATGAAACATTTTTTTGAAAATGAATGGAAATTTGTACTACCATTATTGTGTAAAATAAGGCAAACTGATTCAAAAATTTTTATGAAAATGCAAAGGGCCAAAAATAGTCAAGCCACTCTAAAAGAAAAGGATGGCAGGTTTTGTTGAAGCCTTAATATACAGCTGTCATACAGTGTCATAATATTAGCCCATACGGATTAATGGAAATAAAGAGAGAACCTCGAAAGTAACACAGGTATTTACAGAGGCTTGACAGATGGCAGAAGTTGCACTGCATAGTACCTGGACAAGTAGCCATCCAGAAAAACCCTTCCTCACACAGGAATCAGACATGACAGAAATGGCAAAATTACAAAACATTTTTAACAAAAAAGATTTAAGAGAAAATATCCTCATGACCTCAGGACAGGAATCTTCAAAATAGGACACTAAACATAAGATATACTTCCCATTAAAATTAAGAATCTGTTCATTAAAAACAATGAAGAGAATGAAACATAAAACAGAGGGAGAAGATATTGACAATAAATATAACCAACTAGATTAGTGTCCCGAATACATTCTACAAATCAGTGAGACATATGAACACAACAGAAAAATGGACAAAAGATTTCAATGGGAAATTTTCAAAAGAAATCTAGTAACAATGAACATATGAAGATGTTCAATGCAATTCCTAACTAGGGTATGCAAAATTAAACATCTGTCAACTATAAAAACATCACATTGACTAAAAGTCCGGTAAAACCAAGTGTTGGTATTGTTTACATGTTGGATGGGGGCAGAAGGGAATGTAAAATATTAAAGATATGCATATCTTATAATCCAGCAACTAAACTCTTTAGGCAAATAACCTACAGAAATGTGTTTATGTACACAAAGATGCTCACTGCAGTCTTAAAAGCCGAAAAGTGAAAATACACAAGTGCCCATTACAGTAGAATAGCCAAACAGGTGGTATTCACGAAATGGCATATTACACGGCAATGAAAATGAGTGAAGACACCAGACACAATGTCTAGTATCTCATTTTTATAAGTCAAAACCAGGCAAAATGAACTAACTGTATTGTTGCATATTTACTGGTAGAACCACTTTTTTAAAGGGGGGGTAGGTATTACCATAAAGCCAGGATAGTAGTTACTTCTGGGACACAAAAGGAAGGAGGTTAAGTTTAATTTTTAACCTATTACCATATCCCCAAGTAAATTTGAGATGGATTAGAAATTACCTTTTGAATTAGCAATAAGTGTAAAAATGATTTTTTCAATATTAAAATATAAAGATTATTTATGTACCTATCCTTGGGATAAAGAAGGCAAGCTCCACACCTCTGCAAAGTTGACTGCCAAAGAAAACCGCCTCTAGACCAAAACACAAATTGTATTAAAAGGCAAATGGCACACTAAAAATATATCACATGAAAAAAATAAACATCTTAATTCATAAAAATAGCAACCTCTTAAGAGAATACAGAGAAGATACGAATAAGCAATGCTTAAAAGAATGAAAATGGCAAATAAACATAAAAGTTCAAATGTAGGGGACTCTCCTGGTGGCGCAGCAGTTGAGCGCTGGGTTGCAAAGCTGCCTGCAGCCTCTGCAGTGCCAGTTTGATCCCGGCCGCTGGCAAGGGTCCCACATGGTACGCAGACCTCTCCTGCCGCCCACTGCTCCCCTCAGCAGTGTGTTTTGTCGGTCTGCCTGTTCTGTTCCCTGCTCTGGCTCTGGTGAATTCTCTCACTCTCCTGTGCTTCTGACTGTACCCAGTGCTTGTATAAATAAATGAATAGATTTTTTTTTTTTAAAAAAAAAGCAAATGTATATAAAAAAAACACCCAATCTTCCCTAAGTAATCAAATGCTAATCTTAATGTCATCCTTTCCTGTAATTATTCAATTTGCAAAGGATTTAAATTGCAGTTTTCAATTTGTGAGTTTGATATATTGCTAGTGAGAATGTAAAGGGATATGATCTTGAGGTTAGTGATGAATATAAACATTCTCAAAGCTTACATACCCTTGTTATAGTAAGTTATGGTATACCCACATAATGGAATTTTCTGCAACCATCTAAAATGCAAAATATTTAATGTGGAAAAGTTTACAACATATAGAACAGACTACACCAATGTATGATTGCATTATTAAAAATACATATGCAGGGCCTCCCCGGTGGTGCAGCAGGTTGAGCACAGCGCTGTGAAGCTGTCTGCAGCCTCTGCAGCACGGGTTCGATTCCCGGCCAGCCAGGGAGATACCCACATAACGTAGCAGACCCCTCCTGCCTCGTCCGCTGCTCCCTTCAGCAGTGCTTTCGGGCCGTCTTCCTGTTCTGCTCCCCACTCTGTCTCTGGCGAATCCTCTCACCCTGCCATGCCTCTCACCTGTACCCCAGCTCTTATATAAATAAATAAATCCTAAAAAAAAATACGTATGTATAGTTATACATAGGAAAGTAAAAAGACGTGCACCTAAAGTTAACGGAAGCTCTTTCTGGGTGCAAGAATGGATTTAGGTGGTGGGATTACAGAGGACTGTGAGCCCTTCATATTATCCAGCTTTCCAGAGCTATTTCATTCTATAAAGAGTATCAAATAATTTTGTGAAATTCACTAACACTAGTATTAAACTAAAATCCAAGAAAATGTTAGCTCAACCTACTTTTAATTTTGCTTTCAGTGGAGGGAGAAAGGGGCATTGGGAAGAGGAGTAGGAAGCCAGTGGCTACACCTGGAAGTAGATGATATAGAACTGAGTCTTCCTATCACATGTACATCTTACCTAAATGTATTTTCATTCAAATTTCATATGTGGACAGTCTATTTTAAAGCAGCTTAATTAAGGAACAGTAAAACATAACCATTAACATTTTGAAGTTGCTCTAATTAGTGTTTTATTCTTTTAACACTTTTAAAAACTCCAACATATTGGACAAAGAAATTTTTGATAACGTGTTAATTTCTCTGAAGACAACCATATAATCCTTTAAAATTACATAAACATGTATATTTAGGAGACTGCGGTTTCCTCAGCCTCCATATGCCTCTTTTGGGGGGAAAAAAAAAGCAATGTATTTTTTTTTTTTTTTAACAATTACCAATTGCAGTTCTAAACAACTTTGGCTTATCAATTTTACAATGTGCTGTCAGTGAACTTCTCTTTTATGAACTCAAGTCAGGTCATACACTAGATTAACTACTCCCTTTGCCTACGTCTGTCATCTTCAGACTACCTATACCTTATGTTAGTTACTCTGGGCAAATCAATTCATCTAGAAAGACTACCCACCCTCCAGCATCTATTAAAAGCATTCTTTATTCCTACTCAGAAGATAGCATTTTTCCAAGGGAAGACAGAGAAACAAACATTTCTTAAGCAGTTTTCTATTGAGTGTCTTCCTAGATTTCATGCCCAGTACCTCATAATCCCATGCAAACATGCATAAAATCCTCCAGACTGCTCCCACATTATTCAAAATAGGAGGGACCTATATCTTTCTAATTCTTGTAGGTGATGCCTGTAAATATTTCACTGAAAGACAAGTATTTGAAAGAGGTAAAAACAAGGGGAAAAGCAGTTACTTGCTTTCATTTGGCTTAAAGAAAAGAAAATGTTCTCTACTATACTAAAATATCACACCAACACACAACATACTGCAAAACTTTAATACAATTGTGGTTAAACACAATATTGAAATATTAAACTTTTCAAGCACATCAAAGTTATCTTCTGAAAGATAAATTGGGCTATTTTTATAGCTGTTTTTGTATAACTTTATAAAATTTTCTCCCTCAACAATATCTGACACCAATCTTGATACTTGTTAGAAAAGTGATGTGAGATGATAACATCTCAACAGGCAGAAATATAGGAGGTTATCCCAATGCCCATCTTCAGAATTCATCATCAGAGGACTGACCATCATCTTCATCCCTTACATCTCGGTATTTCCTCGAAGACTCTCCTTCTGGATTATAGCTCTGCATTTTAATATTCAGTCTTTCAGCTAGTTTTTGTGCTGCGAGCTTGGCTTGTATCTCCTTTAAAAGAAAGGCAAAATAGAAAGAACATATTCACATCTTTTCACTACAATTTTTCAATGGAAAGTCATTTAAACAAAATTAGAAATAAAGGAGACTTAACATGCCACTTGGTGTACTCTGCAGCAACATGTTAAGTCTGATGGCTCTGCCTACCCCAAAAAATAGGGCAATACTGGTGAGGGCTACAGGCCTGTCGTAGTTGTTTTACAGACTTCCATTAATAAACAACAAGGCCTTGAAATAACCCAGCTCTACATAAAAAACAGTAATCAGTTTAGCACTACAACAGTTGTAATAAGCACAACAGTTACAACACATCATGGATGGGCACATGATGTATATACGTATGTACTCACACACAGAGCAATCTGAGCTATCAAACGTCAGAAATTAGGAATGCTGTTCTTTGGATTAAATCATGACCACTAGGCTTGAGAGTTACATTTCTATGCAACAATGAAAATTAAGAAATTAATTCTGAAACGCTGACTAGACCTCTCCAAAAGTGTCCCACAGAAATTATTACACAACAAAAAGTCTAACTTTCAGACACTGGTAATGTGCCCAAGTATATACATTATCTCCCAACTGATGGCAGCTGGAAATACTCAGTTCTAATTCCTCTTTTCATTTTCTCATGCTTTCTCCCATATCACTTCAACTTCTTTATATCCTTTCCCATAGGCCACAAATATTACAGATAGGACTAAAGCACTGGTACTACTTCTCTGCTAAGAAAACCAGTTTCAAACTGAAGGGTTTAATTCAACCTAAGACCTATAGGCAATTAAAAAACAATTTCTCAAAGCTGTAGTCATAACTAGGCAATAATTTTAATGAACTGAAAGGAAAAAAAAAACACTTTCAAAAAAGATGTGCCTTGAAAATGCCAATCCATGCCAACTGAGTTGTTATGAAAAAAAATGCCCAGTATTCTATTAATTGGTGCATAATACCTGACAAAAATCTAGCTGAGCAATTCCTAGAAAGTTAAGACAGGCTGCTATTTTCCTGGAGGTCTAAATTATTACTAAGTATAAAGAACCCTTTACTTCCTATGGGCCTCACACTTATTTTTGCACATCCCATTATTCTGGTTACAAATGGCTGACACAAACGTGTCAGAACACACAGCTCTTTGGAGAAAGTGCCATACAATATATTGATTAAGTCACCAAAAATAAGAGACTCCTCTATTACTATTACTACACTTTCGAAGCTAGTGTCTAATTGTTGGCAACACAATACTATTCTCCCACTTGTTTATATTCTATTATAAGGAAATAGAAGGGTGGAAACCACATTATTCTGATTGTCTCAGCAGATTCTGGGTTACATTTCACCACTGAAAAGTCTTCATTTTACAAGGTGGCAGAGAGAAAAAAGCAATACTACTGCTACCCAAACAGCAGACTTGAAAGGATGTGAAATTCAGCATCAGTCTCCCCGCATTTCCTGGCAAATCACCACTTTGAAACTGCAGATAGCTACGCTCATCTCTAGCAGTTTCTTACAGTTCCAGCATCTCTGAGACACTCTGAAAACCAGAGGCACACATCTGAGAGCCAATGGCATTAAGCAATCATTTATCTGGCACCTAATCCTTTCCTCCTATTACTACCTGGGGTATATATAAGCAATCAACATTCCAAAGGGAAGCGATTAACACTTTAAATACCTCATAATTCTGTTTCTGCTGTTTCTGAAGTGCCAAAGATTCTTCTATGGAGAGCAGCTGTGCAGGCATGTGGTGAAGTGGTAGAAGTCGAGCTGCTGTGATATCATCAAGATGCTTCTTATCCCTGTGTCGTCTTTCCTCTACGGAAATAGGAGACCCTCTTCTATGAGAATTAGATGAATCATTTTGTTGTGAAGGCAATCTGAAGAAGAGAAAACTTAAGTTATAACAACAGATTTTTTTCTTTTTATAGACCAACTGTCACACACATAAAAAAGACTTAGCAGTTTTCTACAAAATAGTAAGCAGTTTACCAATATTACATGTGCAAATAAAATCTTTTTTAACATATTTACATTAAAAACAGTTGTTTTTAAGCTGGCATCCTTATGGAGAACAATTTAACAATTCCTTCACTGCTCTAACAGATAACAGATATAGATAAGCTCTTTGCCTTTTCCTTCTTTCTTTAAACCTTTGACTTAAACTGATCATCTTTTTTTTTTTTTTTTTTTTTCATTCAAAAAGCACGTGCAAAGAGGCTTAGAAGGAAATAAACTTGCAAAGTTTCAGTGCCTTGTGCCACAGGGACGGACATACATCTGTGCATGGTACAGTGGAATACGAGGGGCCAGTTCTAATGGGAGACAAAAAGGTGGTCAGAAAAGCTTCAAAAAGAGTGAAAGTTGTGGAGTCTTGGAATAAGAAGTGGCCACCATGTAAATGAGGGAAGGACATCCCAGCAGGGTGTTAGGAACAACACAGCTGCAGCACACGAGGTAGAGGACAGAAAAGGCTAGGAAGTAGGCTGGGTCCAGATGACAGTGAAGAGTTCTATTCTGTATTACAAAATTCAGACCTGCATTTTACAAATTTCACTGAGCAGCAATGAGGACAGACTGGTAAAGACTATAGGCCAGAATAGACCATAGTTACAGCCCAAAAGAGGAATGAGAATCCTCAATTTGCCAGTAGAGAGGAAGAATAAGTAGAGATGAGAGTCAAAATATTTCATATAGGTCTTCATGGCTAGTAGATAAGGGAGATGAGGGAAAAGATACCCTGGGGGGGGGGGAGAGGAGGTGGCAGCACTATTAACTTAAGGAACTAAGGAACATAAGAGAAAGTCAATTAGGAAATACAATCTTTGACATGATAAACCTCAGGGGGCCAAGGAATACCCATATGCCACATTTCACAAGTAATGCAAATCTGAAATTCTGGGGAGTTCTGGCCTTGAGGTAGATGAGAGCCAGTCCCTAGCACCCAGGTGATAAAAGGAGCCGGGAGAAAAGAAACCAAGGGACACTACACCTCATTCTACTTTTCAACTCCCTCCTGCTGCTCAATTCCTTTCAATCCCTATGGCCTACTGACTGCCTAAAGTCTTCTTTCCTGATCTGCCTAAATGCACACAAGGCTTTCTCTCTTAAACTTCCTAAACCCTTATATCCATCCCTCATTCTGCTCCCTTATTTCATCCCACTTCCAGCTAAATGATGGTAATTCAAAACCGGGATATCAGTGTATTCTCTGCTGTATTTATTGACTAAATGAGGCCTATGATTTTCTAAAATGTCTTCCTTGAAGTGAGGAAAGATACTTCACTGCACACAAGATGAGAGATGGCCTGATCCAAAAGTTATTTTATTCCTACCTAAAAAATTAATACAATGCTGCTTTTCTATACGAAGAAATGTTTTGAGGTTTAAATAATGAATGAACTTTAAAGTTTAAGTCTTAACAATTAAAAAATTTAGGTGTTTAGCTAGAGAAATAAAAACAAATAGGTTTAATAGAAAACTACTTCCAATTTTTCAAAGAAGGGCAATAGTGGTCCAATTTTGTATCTTTCTACATACTTATAAAGCTAAGCAAATACCAGTTAGTACAGGATTTGAATGCCACATTTGCATACAATGACAAGTCTTCTCTCTTCAAAGAGCATTCTCAGAAACAAAAGGATGATGACTGGAAGTAGGATTAGTTTGCCCATCCTGCTGAATCTGTTTTAATAACCTGTTCCAGCTGCCTTCCTTCGAAATTGTTCATATGTAATTTGTTTTTCCAAGTGTGTGAGCCTCATCTAGTGTCAGCGCAGCATCTGCTACTTACGTGAGCACACATAGGTATTTTTTGTCAAGAAGCCCATCACCTCTACAATTGCTTTTCCTTTAGATTATCATCTCAACAAAAGAGGTTCTAGAAAAAATGGGTCTGAAAAAGTTACAACTTCTTTTTGTGTTTATTATGTTTATTATGAAATATTGGTTAAGTATCCAGAAATTTAATATTCCATGTGCTATGTAAAATCTTTTCAAATTTTTGGCTAAAAAGACTAAAGTATTTTTCAACAAGAATCCTTCCTTCCAGTCATGCTAGTGTCTCCAGATTATGCTCAATCCTAACTACAAGTAATTCTCATACAAAGCCCACTGAACTTAGAGCCCAGTTTTTGTAATATCCCTGTGAAAAGCCTATTTTGGATAGTACTTACACATTAGTTTTAAATTTATGTGTTGGGGGCACTGGGTTTTTGGCTCGAATTTCTAGCACTTCCATATAATGAGGCTTCTTTTGAATCCCACTACTAAGGCCTGTCAAGTTCTCAGTGCTTGTGTTTTCTCCTGAGTGGTCTTCACCTGGGTCTGCAATAGTGATCCTTTGTAACTTATCAGACAGGTTGTCGGAGCTGCTGGAATTATCTTCTGCTTGACTTGACACACGATGCTGAGGGAGAGGCTCACAAGCTTCAGATGAGGAAGGTGCACTGGCTCTGCTGCCGGAAGCTGGACTCTGGTTCACTGTGTCCTCAACCTCTGGAGCCTCTTCCTCTCTTTTGTGAGTAGGATGCACAAGTCCCTGTGGTGAGGTTGTTTTAGATGATTTAACGTAATCTTCTGAGGAACAGCCAGGAACCAGTGAGGGAGTATCAAGTATCTTGTCAGGATTGTTGACCTTATGTGTGTCCACATCAACAACTGCAACCGCTTTTTGCTTTAGCTTACAGTCTAAACTAACAGGATGAATCAGTTCACTTTTTTCTCTAACCTCTTCACGTTCTGCAATGGCAGCTGTCAGTTTGGCAACAGAGTCCAGGATCTTTTTACCTTTGTCGGGCAATTTGCAAATGAATTTTCTGTCAAGTGGAAAAAGAACATGTGTACGTTAGAGTCATGTCTTAAAGCTTGAGTTATAAAGACAAAGCATTATCCTCAAAAGGAGAAACATCAACCTTTAAATCAAAAAATACCTGATTTCCAACTGCCCCCAAACAGGAATGAAGTAAGAAAGTCACTATGCAGATACTCTTCAAAAAATAAGGGGATACAGGGAATTGGGAAAATAAAAAATTTGTCAAAAGCATTTTTTTTTTTTTGGTGGGACCCTCACCGGTGGCGGGAGAATGAACCGGAGCTGCAGAGGCGGCAGGCAGCCTCACAGCCCAGCGCTCAACCGCTGCGCCACCAGGGGAGGTCCAGCAAAAGCATTTTTGAAAAGCATATAATTATTTAAGACATTTAAACACCAGAAATTTTTAAAGTGTTATATCCAAGATCTTACTGGGAGGGCAGGGCGACGGGTCTGCAAGGTTCGAACTATTTTCTAATACTAAGATATTCGGTGTTTTCACTATCATTTTCTCATTGGGTACAAAGGAGTGTTTCAGATGCCATTACATATGATATAATTGTTCTAATTGCTGATGGAATGTGGGTACTTTTAAAGATTTCTCACTTGTTATTCTAAACACACTTGATCAATACCAGTATATATAAAACACACAATCATGTGTTCCAGAGATGATCAGTAATTCTTAAAAGTATAAAGGGGTCCAATGACCAAAGTTAATTCACTGTTACAGACTGAAAATCCATTCTCACAAACTCAAAACACTTGTGTCTACTACAAGGCCTCCAAATGATTCTTTGTCCCTCTGCTGTATGATAAAAGTTCCTAGTCGGATTCAGCTTTTCTTGAGCCATATTAATCTCAGGTTTATTCTCAGACCTTCTATTCTTGCTCTGGAATTACATTCATTCCCACAATTTCAACTATTAACGTCCCTCTCTGGTTGGGATTCTTGTATTTTCCCAGCTTTCCATTCTCTCTGGAGCCTCATGACCACGTCTCCTCCAGTTTTTTAACTAGTTATAATTAACTGGCCCCTGAACTCAACACCCATAAGTAAAATCAAAGTGGGCCCTATTCCCCTCTCCCACTTTTCTTATTTTGATAGACTTGAAACTTCAGTCATCTCTGTAAACTACATACTCAAATATTTCACCACTGATAAAATTTTCCCAATTCCACAACTACCTTTCCAGCTAACTTTCTTACAACCCCTTTATTGGAATACTCAAAAAAATATTCTCAGCTACTGTCTTCTCTCTCTTATTCCTCCAAACCACCCTGCACCAAGCTGCTAAATGAAGCTTCCCAAGATAAAAATCACTTTCATCCACCCTGCTACAATTACAGTGTTTCCTTGCTAAAATCTGTAAATCTGCCAGCTGAATGAGAGTCAGATTTCCTCAGCCTAAAAAACTACTCTTCATATTATTCCACTTGGCATTTCCTATGATTCCTGTAAAAACTGGGTCTAGAGATGAAACTGACAGGATGCACACAATTTGTATCACAAATTCGTTTGGGGTGGGGGACAGATTTGTGGCACAAACCTCCCCTTCAAGGAATCCACATGGTAGAATAAAAACAAAAAGTGGAGTAAATAAAAAAAGAGAAACTGATGGGAGCTGACACGCTAAGCAGCCGCTCGGCACACGAGCCAGAACCCCAGGCGGTGGGTGTCAGGCCAGGGCACGGTCGGCTTTTTCGGCTGCAGGCCGCCCGCTGGCCCCGGGAACGGAAGGAACATGGCCCGGGCAAGGTCACCTTCCAGGGAAGGGGTTCTGGGGGAGGGGAGGGACGCGTTCCAGGAGCCCGAACCGGAGGAGCCCGGCGGTGACTCGCGGGACCCCAGCTTACTCGTTGCGCAAAAGTCTCCCCTGGCGCTTCAACATCTCCCGCAGCTCCGCCAAACTCCGCTGCCCCAAGTCCTCGGGAGCTGGGGGCTCGAAGCAGCGGGGCAGCGAGGACATTCTGCGGGGGCTGAGGCTGGCGAGGCGGGGGACACTCGGCTTCCGCGGCAGCCCCTACTGCGAGCGCCGGATCCGCGACCGGCGGGGACTCCGGAGCGCGCGCGGGGGCCGCCATTTTCCCGGAAGAGCAGGTCTTCTTCGAAGCGAATCGAGCTTTATTGAAACGCCGGAAACAAACACGGACAAGGACACGCGGGAGAGGGCAGGGGCGGAAGTTACTGCCGTGACGTCCGCACCCGGGCTGGGTCCGCTTTTGCTCGGTTGTCCATCCCCAAGTTCGTCCGCGCTTTTTCTGTTTATTTCACGAGTATTTACTGAGAGCCACCGTAGCTTTAACAAGTAGCTGTGTCCCCTTCCGCTGTGAGGTTTCTCAAGTGGTGGAGGAGGGCTGGCAATCAACAATAATACAATATAATAGGATCGGGTTGGGCACCAGGGAAGGTTATCCCTGAGAAATGAAATGTAAATTGAAACCTGATTGATGAATTAGTTGGGTATTTGTAAGGTTGGGCGAGAGTGCAGCACTTGGGAATCCCTGGCCTATTGTGTAGCGCCTCTTAGCCCAAGGCTTAGTGAAATCCTCAAAGTTGGAAGGATTTTAAGGGACCATCAGTACTTCTGTTAGGGGGAAAAGGATGTCCTTCGATCTTCATCACCATGGAAATGGTGGCAAAAAGTGAAAGGGGGGAATTGTTAAGGGAAAAAGGATGTCCTAAAGCTAATTCCATACAGGCTTTGTGGACTCCACCCCCACCCCAGGCCAAAGCCAAAGACACTGGGAACTCCAAATCCCATCACCACCACAGGGAAGGTAGCTGGGACCTGAGGGTGGGGTTAAGCAGCCAGGTTAATATAAAAGACAGACACGTGGGCTTTGGGGGTTCCCCATTTTGGCTCTCTGCCAGCTCGCAGCTTCCGGCCAGCTCTAAGAGTGACTTTGGGTTTCCAGGTCGGCGGATTGGGTAGGACGCATTAAAGACTTTATTTCCCTATTTTCTCCCTGAGTTGTACATTTTCCTTATTTCCTTTTCCCTTGTAAATAAACCTTTTATTAACCTTTTGTGTGTGTCTGTAGTGGAGTATTAATAAGTCCCTTTTAAGCGCGCGGGTGAGGACCCACAGCCAGGAACCCGTTCAATATCGGGGCTGCTCTATAACACTTCTTAATGGTGTTCTAATGACATTCGGAGTGGAACTTTTATTTGCTGTGCTGCCAGACTTTGCAAGACATTCGGTGTTTGGTTTCGACCCACTAGTTGCTATGGCACTCCCCAGACAATGTAACAATGCAATCCCCTCCCTCCTACACGTACACACACGCACACACACCCACCCACATTTCCAAAGGTCCACAAAAAGTGATGGGGAATAGGGGAGAAAGAGGGAAGTGCTTGTATGAGGAGGTTGAGAACCTCTTTCACTATTTTGCCCATGGAAAAACAGTCACAAAAATAGAAGTATTTCCAGGATACAAACCTAGTAAGTGATGCACCAGCTTTCAAACTCAAATGCCCAGCTGTTCTATCCACCACACCATTTAAAAATCCCCCTCTTCACTTTATGCCTAATCCTAAAAATATAAAATTTTTGAAAAGTTCTTTTCCTACTGTTGAGAATAGAGAGGCAAATAATAGCATTTTACCTTTATAGTTCTGCTGCCAGAGCTATGTCCTACAGGAAAGAGTAGAAAGTACGTATGCCACAATAGATATCAGTTGGGGGGGTTGAATGACCACATAACCTCCAACACTGCCTCCCCATTCTTTAATATAAAAGTCTTAATTTTCTCAATCCTACGTCAATTGCTACAATAAATGTAAGCAATCCCTCCTAACCAGACAGAAGCTCTAGATAAAATCTATTGCTTCTCTGGGAAACACAGTTGACATCTCCCAGCATCCTCCCAGTCTAGTTCATTCTGATTAGATTAATTTCAAGTTAGCATCCCAGACATTGTGGAGCAGATATCCTCAGTAAGCTCTTTCTGAATTCCTATAGAATCCAAGGGGAAAATAAAATGGTTGTTATTTTATGCTTTAAAGTTTGGGGTTTTTTGTTTAATAACAGTAATAGGAGCTGTTTAGTAAGTTTATCCATGCTTAATTCCTCCAGCTATGCTCTGGATGCTATCTGTTTTGCCTCCTTGGCAATCTCATTCATTTATTCATTCAATAAATATTAAGTATCTAGCATATAAAAGACACTATTCTGGGCTTTGGGAGACATAGTAATGAATAAGACTAGTTTCCTGTCACATTGAAACTCATGTTCCATCAGAGAATACATAGAGATTAATATAGGTGACGTGGTAAGGAGTGATCGGGAGACTACCTTATGGAGGATGACTGGAGCTAGCTTTTCCTTTTTTTATTATTTTTTACATCATTGTTCACTTTTAAACAATACTTGCTTCCCTCTCCCCTACCCCCACAAGGGTAGTCCCCATAGAATTTCCTTCCCCAATGCACCCGTGCACCATCACCTCAGTCCCCTATGCTCCTCCCTCCCTCCCTCAGATCCCTCTCCCTCCTCCTCCCCTGCAGGATGTCTCTGATTTATAATTGTCTGTTTTTGTTTTGTTGTGTTTTGTACTGTTATTACTTTTTTACACTGATGTCTTATTTGGTTCCCCTATATTCCTCCTATAAGTGAAAACATGTGATATTTTTCTTTTACCTTCTGACTTAATTTCACTAAGCATAATTCCTTCTTGGAGCTAGCTTTTCTGAAGAAGTAACTTAACTGAGAACTGAAAGAAGAAAGAATTAACGTTGAGAAAATCTGAAGGAAAAGTATCCCAAGTAGAGAGAACAAATATTAAGGATCCAAAAATGACAAAGAGCTCAGCATGTTCATATAATAACGACAAAGACAGGACAGATCTGTCAGGATTTTCTAGACCAGAATGTAGAGTTTAAATTTTGTTCCAAGAAAAATGGAGAGCCAGCTGTGTTAGACAGCCCCTAGTGGACTCAGTTTAATAATTCCCTCCCATTGACATTGAATGAAGGTTAGGCATATTGACTTGCTTCTTACAGTGTGGTAAAGTGATACAAATGTTAAAAGTGATGGATAAATTTCAAGATAAGGTTATAAAAGATTTGAACAGACATTTCATCAAAGAAAATGTACTGATGAAAATAAGCACGTGAGCCAACCAATGTTATTAGCCATGAGGAAAATGCAAATTAAAAACACAATGAGATACTTCTATACCAGTATCAATGTATGGAATTAAGAAGACTTACCAGGCCAAGTGTTAGAAAGGATGCAGAACAATTAGAACTCCTATATGTTGCTATTGGGAAGCAAAAGAGCATATCTGCTTTGGACTAGTTTGGTAGTTTCTTAAAATCTACCTTATGACCTGGCCATGCCTTTGCTAAGTATAATTACCTAAGAAAAATGAAAGTATATGTTCATCTGAAGACCTGTACATGGTAAATATTCATAGAAGTTTTATTTAACAGCCAATATCTATCAATAGGTGAATGGATAAACAAAAGGTGGTATATCCTTACAAATGAAAACTACAGTCCCGGCAGCAACTTCATGAATCTCCATTGTACTGAGTGAAAGAAGCCAGGACAAAAAGAATATATACTGTATGATTACATTTACATAAAAATGAGAATCACAGTCATAAGCAAGTATGAAGCAAATTCATGTGCACGCACGTGTGTGTGTGTGTGTTTGAAGCATCCATTGGAACTTTCATACAGAGCAAAACAGCAGCCATAGCTATTAAAAAATTAAGAATGATAAACCTGACTTTATTGAACAACAATGTATCATTTACCAAAATCTGTGTATCATTTACCAAAATTTCTCTTCCAGTAAGTTCCCCAAACTGTTTTCTCCAAACAAAACAGGACTTTCCCCACTTTCAGAGGGAGAAACAAGTATTAGGACTTCCTGACTCATTCATCTATGGGGTGTTATCTCCCTGCAGCTTCGCTACCTCCTTTGTCTGCCCCTCAGGACAGAACTTTAAAAGTAACTTAGAGGAGCCTGGCCAGTTAAGAAATAGAAAGTAAGGGAAGAAACAAGGAATTGGAATTGGGTATGAGAAAAACAGTAAGAAAGGAAAGAGAAAAGTGGGAGATAAAAAACAAGGAACTGGTAAGGAGGACAATAAAAAAGTGGACAAGACAGTAAGAGGGATAATGCTTCTCTGCACAGAAATCAGAAACAGTAAGTTTCATCAGAAGGGCTTTTCTGAGGAACTCACAGATAAATTCATTTCTCTTTCCTCCCTAAAATATGCTGTACTTGTACATAATGTCACATTTCCCTTGTTTGTATTTCACTGTGATCCCATTGCAACAAGATTTCCCTCAGCTACCCAAGGGTTTAGGTTGTAAAATACTTTTACTCCACACTGAAAGTAAATTCTTGCATTAGCTATCTAAACTATTTGCAAGGAGTAACTTAATTTTCAGCTCATATATCCCTCTTTATCAGCAAATAGTAATTTAAAGTCATTTGCTAGAACTGTGGTTCCTGAATGACAGACTGTGGCCTATTAAAATTAATCCTGACAAAAGATCCTTGCTGCTTTCTCCAAGCACATTCAGGCCATTGGTTTATGAACAGGATGAACAGACCGCCCATCCCAGAGGGCTTGGGGGAGGAAGCACGCAAAATGGCTGCCTGCATCTTTGTTTGCTCAGCTGCTTGAAAAAAATAAAACTGAGGGAAATGAGATTAATCAAGAGGGCAGTTGCCCATGGAAAAAAAAAAAATAGGAAGGTTCTGGTGAGAAAAATCCCAACCAACTAAGGTTCAAATTGGAGCAAAAATATTCTATTCTCTTCAGACTGTCACAGGTTGAGAGTTGTTTAGTGACAAATTTCCCATTTCAGGCCACCAGTGTTTTATGATCCTTTTGATCATGGGGGAAGAGAAAATTTAGGAAAAAAAAGTCATTAAATATTTAAGTCTCTAAAATTATGTGTAATTTTACTTTTTACGTAGCAAACTTGATGAAAATTATTGGTTAGATATGTGGCTAATTGTGATTGAATAACAACTTTCTAAGTTTTTTCAAATGAATAAACTCATAAATCAGAAAGAAAAAGTTCTTGAAAGACCACATGTGCTGACT